CAGTTTCAAGAGTATCCATTAGCTGATCTTGAGGTTCTTCTACTGGAACAGTATCTTCTATTTCCATATCATCATCATATAAATTAGAAGGCGAAAGCTCATGATTTATAGTAGAGTTTTCTTGTTGACTTGAACTGGAAGATTCGGTTTTAATAGGCATTATTTCATCTTCTGTCATATCGACAGGTGGAGGGGAAGGAGATTTAGGAGTTACATCTCTAACAAATTCTAATCGTGGATCAAGGGTTTTATTACGATTTCGTCGTTCCTGTTTAGTTGTCGGAAGTTGTGTTGGCAAAGTTCGAAGTGCTGCTAATCGCGCTTCACGTTGTTGGAGAGCCTATATATATATATATAATAGTTTAAGTCCTTAGCACATAGAATAATAATAATAAATCATATAATTTATTGTATGATATAAAAACCTGTTTTGCTTGGTTCAGTCTTTCCTGTGGAATGGCTTGCAGAGCTAAATGTATTACATCAACCACGAAAGGCAGTGCAAATTGTGTAGGATCAATCGGCAACATTGGTGCACCTTGTGCTAATTTTATTATATTTTTGTTAATAACATTTTACAAAAAGAAACCATTTTATCGTATGTGAACAGATGTGCAAAGTACCAGAACGCTGAGAACCTCCATAAACTTTTTGCAAAGAACTTCTACCATCATCCATCCCTTCTTTCTGTTGTAAAAGTCGTCGATATTGTCTTGGAAATTTCATCGGATCATTCTTACCCCCCAAAACAAGTATCGTATCGAAAATTTCGTTTGCAAAAGATGAAGACTCGAATACTGGGATTCTAAAAAATTTTATTTCAGATATTTTCATAATATCTATTCAAAACTCCTTTGCAGCAAAAATAATACCTTAATAGAGATGTTAATTGAATCTTGATAACTTTTTTCACGCTTTTAAATGCAATTTCATGTAAATGATCTGGAGGATTATTTTTCCATTTCTTAACTATTTTAATCAGTGGATAAATATATTGTGGTCTGGATCTAAAAACTGGACCTAACGCATTTATGATCGCAGTTATTACACTACTTGATCTACAAAGATAACAATTTCAGAAAAACAGAAATACTAAATATTAAATAATAAGCATAAAACAAGTTATTTGTACTAACTCTTTATACAATAAATTGTACATTCCATTTATAATAGAAATTGATTCTTTTTCAAGCATTAATGGATTCAATATTGGATGTGATGGTGGACATAATGCTAAGGAAATATCATTTTGCTGTATCACCTGTAAATGATTAAATCATTTAATATTTATTTAATTATGTACATGAAATAACAAAACACTTACCTGAGAATCATGCACATGACGCGATTGAACTTTAACTACCGATTGTAAATACTTTACGGCACAAATCTTGATCCCTTGTTTGGTACCAGGAGAATCGAAAAAGCGCATAATTTGTGTTTTAATTGACGTCGTCGTATTCCAAAGCTGCTCAGCATCATGCACATTTTCACATCTATCACAAATAATAAAGTTTTTTTTTTTAAATGGGAACAAGTCAGTTTTAACAAGTCATGTGATCAAGAATGCTGGAAACCGGATCACATTAAGAAAAAAAAAGATCACTAACACTCTTTCGTAAATCAATGGATAAACACCAGCATTCCAAAGAATCGCCTTCTTAACAATGTTTGTTGATTCTTCGAAGCTAATTGTATATCCTATTGCAGGTAAAATTTTTCCTAAACCTTTTTGATGACACAATTTTGTTTCAAAATTAAGGACAACTTTATTATCTATTTTAATTACAAGTTTATTTATTTATATTTTTTTGCTCCTGTTTTTTTTTTTGCACTATCTGTCAACGATTTATCAAGGGATTCTATAAAAAAAAAAAAAAAATAGGGTTCTACACGAGCATGACATTTAACAAAAAAAAATTGTTGCATGGCCATCAAATGAACATTAATTAAGAACGATCTTAATTCAAGAACATTCGATCAAATATGACGATGCCAACTATTGCAACTATTGCTCGATACATAATTCATGAACTATTTTGCCATAATATATCTCACTGTTTTAAAAAAAATTTCTCGATGCAATCAAATTAGTCAACAAGATTAATGCAATAAATACAAAAAGGAAAGGAATATTTTTTTAAAAAAGGATACTATCTTTTAATA